GGGTGCCCCCCCCCCCCAGTCGGCCCTCCCCTGAGCGTGACTGAGAGTGGCATCGCAACCTCACGATCTGCCCTGCTCTGAGCCTGACCAGGGGCTGCACCTAGGGATTGGGCCTGCCCTATGCCACCGGGGAGCAGGCCTAAGCCAGCAGGTCGTTATCTCCCGAGGGGTCCCAGACTGCAAGAGGGCACAGGCCGGGCTGAGGGTCCCCCTCTTCCCCTGAGTGCACAAATTTTTGTGCACCGGGCCTCTAGTATATAATAAATGAAAGTTTTCATAGATGTATTTCACCTGAAAAGCAATAAGTAATCAAATATCAAATCATAGTAGCTCTTCAGAAGGAAATGAGGAAATTAATTACATTGATAACATTTTATTTCATTGGTGTTTCAGATTCTTATTGATTATCTCATCTTCATCGTTTTCCCACTTGAGCTAACTTCCTCTTATCTGTTAATAAAGTGAGAAGATTAACTTTCTTTTAGGTCTTCATTTTGCAATAGTTTGCCTTGATTTTTCTGTATCGACCAGCTATTAACTTCTAATTCAAATATGCATCTAGAGATCAAAGCTAAATGCTAAGCAAGAGGTTAGATTCTAAATGAACCTTACTCTCACAAAAATGTGAACAGCCTGAATTAAAATTTCATAAAGCATTGTGCCCAAATACCAGCATTCATCATACATTTGGTGTATGAGTCACCGTATATGGATCAGCACAGCAAACCTGAAAAGAGTCTAACTCCAAGGTGAAATTTGCTTTTTCTTTCAATAAACAAGACTTAGTATTACACCAGAATATAGAACTTGGTTCTGTGTTGACTCAGTAAACTGAAAAATCAGTTCATGAGCCTCTCTGAATTGGCATCTAAGTAGGCTATCATCACAAAGATTAAGTGTGGGTGAAGGAAATAATGAGGTGTATTGATTCCTATATAAGAAGATATTCTTCCTTCAAGTCAGAAGTCAAATTTTGCATAATGTGTGTGAGCTTCTGTGTGTGCCCATCCACTACTTATCTCCTTGTGCGTTTCGATTTTCCCTTGTCTACTGTTACATTCTTTAGAGAAGTTTTTGTCTCCAGTGTTTGATCATCTTTATGTCTGTGCGGGGAAGCTGAGACAGAGGACAGTATAGAAGATGGTTCAGTCAAATGGTGTCAGAAAGCCACAAGGGCAAGGCACATGGTTGTCCCCCAAATTCCACCTCCCCCGCCCCCAATGATCAGAGGATTATTATCTGCTTTCACACACACCCTTCAGGCTGTCTTTTTTTTTTTTTTCCTTCTCTCTTCTGCAAGGCAGCCCATGTGGAAAAGGAGGGAAGTGATCCCCACCCCTGCTTGCAAAACACCAGCAATAATGACAAAAAACTCCAGCAGGCCCAGATTTGTGTTATTTCTCTGAGCTTAATGATAGAGATTAAAATTATAATATTTAGCCCTAACCGGTTTGGCTCAGTGGATAGAGCGTCGGCCTGCGGACTCAAGGGTCCCAGGTTCGATTCCGGTCAAGGGCATGTCTGTTGGCTGCGGGCACATCCCCAGTAGTGGGTGTGCAGGAGGCAGCTGATCGATGTTTCTCTCTCATCGATGTTTCTAACTCTCTATCCCTCTCCCTTCTTCTCTGTAAAAAAATCAATAAAATATATTTTAAAAAATTATAATATTTAATAATATTTGAGCTGAAAGGATCCCATAGGTTAAATTACTTATCCAAAGCTGCACAGTAAGAAGCACACCTGAATCTCAAACCCAGGCCTTTGGGACTGTGATTCACCTCTTACTCCCCTGAGGCACACATTGGCCTACCAAGGAATGTTTTCAACCTCAACATCAACTTGGTGCAACTTCTTAGAGAATTGTTTACTTAATATTAAGTAAGTTTCAATATGATTTGTGTTATAGCAAACAAGTTATGTTACAGAGAACACAGATTCCTTATGAGTATTTCAGGCAGAATAACACATGTTGAGGGCGCAGGTTGTCCTGGGCTTTGTCACCAGGCGGCCCAGGAGGATGCTGTCATTCTTTTCTCCTGTTGTATTTTGCTGGGGAGGAGGACCTCAAAAGAAGAGTTTACAAAGCCTGGGTCAGAAGATCTTCGAATCTCTTAAACTCTGAAATCCAAACGCTTACAACATAATTTTCTCTTTCAAATGATGCAGAACAATAGACCAGTTCCGTAAAAACCACCTGAGTGCTTCTGATTGCAGTAGTGATATAGATCCCAAGGCCCCACCCCCTACCCCTCCCCTGAACTCCTCCTGTGGCCCCAAAGTATTTCTAACAGAACCCTTGGCTCCCTGTGTCAGTGTGAGAACCACAAATAGAGGCTTATTGTTATTGTTGCCTTGAACTGATGATATACTGTGTGATTTAGTGATGAATAGTTCACACATCCCCCCTCATCTTCATCCCCCTCCCCCGCCCCATTATAATAGTTTCTACCTGAAAATATGGAGCACTTTACAACCATATGTTTTGCAAAGCCATTTTTTTAAGAACACATTTTGGTATAGAAGAGGAACTGCCTATAATTTGTAAGTCGGTTGCCACCCATTAGCTGAACCCAAAATAAAGATGAACATTTAATGACAGGCTTGCGAGGTTTCAGCAAGGCAGCATTTTGATTTCTGGCTCTCTGTCTTTCTCATGCACATTTGTCACAGCTCATTTGGTAGCATGAAGGATTGAGCCTTCTTGGCACTGCCGTCTCATTTTTCTTTTCATTGTGACAAATTGTTGCTGAATTTTAAAGCACAATAGTATCTCCAAAGCGTGTATTCTGTCCTAAAGTGAACTGAGCACTGCAATTTGCCTCATTAGTGCCGTTGTACTCAGCAACCTAAAGTGGACAGTTGCTGATTGATAAGCCCACCAACGGGATGATGCTCCTGTTCGTCCTCACGGGGCCTGTATTTGAGAGCTGTGTCCTCAGGCAGGCCTGGCTGGCCCCACAGGCAAAAGCATCCCCCACGTCCTGCCAACTGGCAGCCACATGGCACCTTCGCAGGCCTCAGCAGGCAGATGGAAATGGCAGCCGCACAGCATTTTAAGGCTGCTCTTCCAGGAACCAGGTGGTGACCCTGGGTCCAACTCAAAGTGTGGTTTTTACAAAGTGCTCCCCTGTCTCCTGTGTCCTGGACTGAGATGGTGGCGATTGAAATGGACATATGTCATGAAGAAAGACATAGTGAAACGCCGAGTAGCTAAGTAGATACCAAAGCTGAGAAAGTACTGGAGGTAACACTCAACACTCCTTTGTTGGCTGAAGATATTGTAAACAGTGGGCTTCAGAGTATAAAACCCTACACTGTTGCCTCTCTCCTCGTATATATTTTAGATCTCACCCCGGCTAGTGTGGCTCAGTTTGTTGAGCATCATCCCATGCACCAAAAGGTACTGGTTCAATTTCTGGTCTGGGCAAATGCCCGGGTTTCAGGCTCAATCCCCAATAGGAGGCTTACAGGAAGCCGCTGATCTCTCTCTCTCTCTCTCTCTCTCTCTCTCTCTCTCTCAGTAAGACCATATTTAAAAAGAAAGAATCTGAATGTACTGAATCTTTGAAATGACTTCTCTAATCAGTGATGTATAACTAGTTTTTAAGGTAGCACATGATAATTTGATGGGATAATAGCCTAAATTTAATACCTGGTCTTTCTAACTTGTATAGATTTAAACAGGCAGATTTGGTAGATAGGAAAATAAGTATAAATGGGTAGATATTGCAACACCAAGTAATCAACACTGTTCTACTTGTCAAGGTTAACTCTGTTAAGGACTAGGAAGTCAGTGGTAAGGGTCTCTTAGTGTTTCCTAATGGCAGAGTCAGTGCTCAGAGAATGAATGAATGACTCTCTTTGGCCTAGAGTTGCTTTGATGGGAATTATTGGTTTTGGTTTTGTTTGTGGTTTTTGGTGTGGTTTGTTTGTTTGTTTTGTTATTTTGGTTTGAATGATATGCTCATTGTTCTGTTGGGTGGTTTCTTTGCCTGTTTATGGAGAATTCAACTTGTGCTTCTTGTTTGGGCAGCACTTTGACATGCCTCATGATATTGCTGCCTCTGAAGATGGGACTGTGTACGTTGGAGACGCTCACACCAACACCGTGTGGAAGTTCATCACAACTGAAAGTATGGTTTTTAAATATTATGGTGCATATTTTCCTCTCAGTTTTATTGCTTAAAAAAACATGTGAAAAAATGCATTTCTTTCTCTTTTTATTGATAGGAGCGGGAAATCAAGGTATAAGTGGTAGTTGCTAAAATACCTGCTTGGATATCATTTCAGGAATTAAATTGAATTTTTTAAGTGGAAAGAAACTTTTTTTTTGCTGGCAGTTATCCCCTCATTTCCACAGATATTCCACAGGAAATTCTTGATGCCTGAAGTAATGTCTGCTACACTGAAAGCCAGTGTTAATTCCAGCTCCTCTCCAGAGGGAGGGAGATGGCTTTGGCAAGGCAGATGGGCTGACTAGTTTCCACACAGGCATCACTTCCCAAGTGACTCCAGCTCTCCGCGGCTGCCGAGCAGCTAGGAACGCCAGCATCAGTGTCAGACACACATCATTCCAAACAGGAGGCGCTCTGCGTTTCTCCGTTGAGCTTCAACTTACTCAAAATTCTGCACTGCTGTGTTTTCATATAGCTCAAAGTATGTATGGGACAGAAGGGTTTTTCTATCAGGATCAAGCAAGGTAGTATGGAGCGGGGGGTTCTGACTGCAATTTGGACTTTATTTCTAATTCTTAGAAAGCAGACTAACCTAGCCTCTGATATCAGCCTAAGGAAACATAAGCTTTCTAAATTAAAGAGGACGGGATGCTTAGTAAGCCACTAACCTCAGTGTCCAGAAATCCTTTTAAAATATGGCAGGGTCTAAACAATAGGAGAAGATGGAATTAGGGAGAAGAACTGAGAATGATAAGCTTGTGGTATCAGAGCTGCAGCAGGCAGTTTTAGACAGAGAAATAGTAAGGAAACATGGACTTGATGGAGATAGGAAATGCTAACTAAAACGGGAAAATGCAAATTATAACAAGGGGAAAAACAAGTTATAACAAAGAAATTAGGTTCCATACAGGTCTTGGACCCCAAGTAGGTTTGATAACTTCAGAATTATCCCTTGGGTCACCTTTGCTGGTTTTGTAATAAAGGCCCAGTTAGGGCTGAGTGCACAGAGGTGCCCAGGACTGCTCCCCGCTAGCAGTTGCTTCCCATCCCCGTTGCAAGTGCAGCTCACACCACCTGCCTCCTCAAGAGGAACCAGAAGGTGTGGGCAGACAGGAAAGCAAAGAGAGATGGATAATTCCCAATTGCGTGTCTGAGCCCAGGTTTTTCAGAATAAAGAAATGAATGAATACCTTTTAAAGTGGAAAAGACTTCCAGAAACCTAGCCAATATCTTCATTCGGCAGGTAGGAATATGCTACTTGAACTCATTAAGATTCCAGTTTAGGCTCTTCATACCATCCCCATAGTTAGTACTCAACAGAGATGTAAATCTGAGTCACTGGGGAGGGTTTTTCAAAATACACATGACCGCACCCCACTTGAGATCCAGAGAAAGAAGAGGAATGATAGTGCGTGCATTTTCGAAAGGCTTCCCAGGTGATATTGATGTATCTCCTGATTGACAAGCACTGCAGGATAGCTTTCAGCTTTGAAACAGAAAAGTTCTCTCCATAGTCCAGAATGTAACCAAATAACAAACCAGGAAAATAGTACCTTTGGGGCAATAAGACTTCATCCAGGGCCAAACGAGTGTTTTTGTATCTGCATGCTAGTGTTTAACTGGTCACATCCATATACATCAGCTAGAAGACTGATGGACATGGCAGGACTAGCTACCTCCGAGATGTCACATGAAAACAGAATGACTTGCTATTTCAGAAATCAAAAAGGAAAATCTCATTTTAAATGTGAAGACCTTAGAAATATTATTTCAACTTCCCCTAGGAGATTTTATCCAGGATTCCTAGACCTGGCACCTAATTAGTGACTGGCACTAAACTTTTCTAATATGATAATGAATTTGATGAATTAAGGAAATATTTTCCCCTGAGTAAAATTAATATCGAAATTAAGTTTTCCATTGTTCTTTTTGGGGTAATGATGCTCGTCTCTTTGCTGTGTTACAGAAATGGAACACCGGTCAGTTAAGAAGGCTGGCCTTGAGGTCCAGGAAACCAAAGGTTGGTCAGGTTCCTCTTTGACTGTGAATCCCTAGGCTATTTGTGTTGAATTATTTTATGGCTCTTGATTGCACTTAAAATATTATCAAGCTAAAAATAGAATCTGTTAAATCATCAATAACTTCTGCTGTGTCCTGAACCTTTAAACCTACTCATTGGCATCGCTTTTTCTAATAAATGGAGTAGTAATAAGTTCAAATTCACTCATTTCAGGTGATGAAAAACAATTAAGAAATCTGTTTTTAAAAATGGGCCAGAAACATTCAGGGAGGGAAAAAATAAGTTAGCAACTTACAAGTATGTTAACCTCAGATAAGCAGAAAAATACTGTCCAATGTACTGGAAAAGGCCTTTTCCTATGGGGCTCTAACCTAGAGGAGTGGAAAATACCTTTGGTGAGTTAATACTGTAAGAGCCTGAGAAGATTAGCTGCTCCCCAAGTTTCTATCTTAGTAAAATTTAGCCCCCCAGCATTTACTGAAGGCCATCTATGTGTAAGTCACTGTAATAGGTTTTAGGGAAATGTAACTGTGCCTGACTTTAAGAGACTTACACCCTATAAGGAGTGTGTGCATGTGTGTGTGCATGTGTGTGCATACATATACATGTATACAGATAAGCATAACATTGGTATATAGTATCAAGAATGGATAGATAAGATTAAGCAGCTGGTAAGCAACCACTTGGTTCGTATGGAATCCCTGTCAAGTTATTTTCTCTCTTGCGTAGAATCAGTTTATATTTGTGCATTGTCTACTATCTGCAGGGTTTGGGCATCATTGTGTATAGTTAAGAACTCACCGGAGATGCTCCTAATGTTTAAGTAGCAAAATTATTCCATTATTAGTTGCTTTACAAATGCCTCACATAGATATTCAGACTTAACCCTAGGTTTACTTGTTTTCCTTTCTCATGAAAGCAGGTGGAAAGAGATGAAAAGAAGCAAGAACCAAGAGGGAGTTTAGGGAGTTTATGTAGGCAGATAAGAAAATATAGCCGGCTCAAGGTTGAAAGGGGTAAGATAATATTATAAAATAAATAAGTAGCAATTGTTTGGCATTTGTAGTGATTCTACCTATGTGACACTACTGAGTGGCATTCATACCATAAACATATAATGATGAAGTTCCCAGGACCCTGTTTTTTATCATTCTATATAGAATTATTGATTAGTTCTATTTGCTCTGGAATAAAGATATGTTGGGAATGATTTTAATAATAGCTATCATCTATGGAGCACAAACAATGGGCTATACAGAATTATAAAGTTTAATCCTTACACCAACAATGTGATCATTTCAATATCTCCATTTTAAATATTAGGAAGTGAAGATAAGAATTACTACTATGATAGTAAGTGGCAAAACTAGGTTTTGACTAAAGTCTGTTTGGCACCAAAGCCTGGGCTCTTAACCACTAGTTCTGTACCACTGAGGAGAGATGAATACTACCAATTGACTCACCATAAATTCTTCCAAGAACTATAGGTTAGAGAGGGTTGTAGATTACTCTGAATCCTCTGGTATTTCACAGTGGCCTCAAACCATCACTGTTTAAATAGATCACACACACACACACACACACACACACACACACACACTAGATCATACTGGTTGGCCTGTTGAGAACAGCCCAACCACACTGACCAGTGAGGGGCGAACTGTGCTCATCCCTGTAGTTCATTTGGTCTCTCCTCAGTGCGCCCACTGAGTCATTGGTGGGAAAACCTCCCAGTCCGTGGCAGAATGCAGCAGTTCAAATAGTAAATTTTATTGAAGTGTCTTGTCATGATGGGCTCATTTTAATAGTAGGAATATCCAAACTCAAATGAAGTTGTTCTTTTCTTTTTTGAACCAATATGATATTCATTAAACCTTTTTTTAAAAAAAATTACTTTCTTATTTCAAAAAGGAATATAAATTATGCTAGATCTCCAGAGTTTGTCTTTTACCAAAATCCAGAAGCTAAACTTAAACCACTCCTTACAAAAGAGAGGGAGAAACACCAACCCAAACTTACTAGACTTGTTCATACATGTTCATTGTAAATTACCAAATTCGAGTTACCTTTGATGACACTCATCCCAACGGTGGATGTTCACATAGCAGAGTTTCAAAACCAGTGTTGTGTTCTCAGGGAGTTGCGGGAATAAAAGTATTGTGATGATAGGAAACTCAGGAAAGGAATCTAAATTTTCAACTAAAGTTACCATGGATAAAAGAGATATGCCAACATCCCACCAAAAGCATAGCCTTTACCCCTCCTCCGCTTCACAATAAAAGATGATGACACTCAATGCCCCAGAAGGGGTGAGGAATTTCAGAAGTGCAATGAATGTATCTTATATTTTAGCAAGTTTATTGCCTCATACTCAGCACACTTTCTACGAATGCTAAACTGATTATTTTAGGCTGTCACTTACTTTATCCATAATGTAACCCAGTCCTAGTCCTGCCTTATGAAAGAACCTAGATATGAGCTGATATAGCCTCACCTTAGTGTAGGTGTAGGTACTCATACTTAATGATAGGTAGAAATTGCTAAGTAATTTCTCTGCTTATAGTCACCTTCAAAAAGAAATAAACCTTTCTTCCAAGACAACAAATTCTTGATTGCCAACCTATAACTTTGGCCTATATATTTTTTAAAAATCCTGTTGTCTGTTTTATGTATTTTCCTGCTTCAATATAGAATAAGCTTGAATACTGAACATCTTGTATACCTCTTCTACAGTAATACGAAAGCAAAACAGTGGTTAGGAAGAGTACAAGTCACATTTATATTCCTCGTGGAAACTGAGACTTAGAAAGGTTAAATTTGAATGATCTAGATTTATGAACCAATCCCTTTCCTTCTCTCCACTGAAGTTTCGAGAGCCACTTCATTTGACAAAAGAAAAGAAATAATGGTCTCCTCTTAACCATAGTGCAGGGAAGGAAATGAGGACTATGACAGGCCATCTGTAAGACAGTGATAATAATAGTGCCTCCTCACGGGCTTGGTGTGATGATTAAATGAGAACCGTGCCTGGTACAGCTTTACGTGCCCAATAGGTATCAATGAGACATGAAGGAGGCTGGCTCAGGGCACTGAAGCAAAAGGCTGGACCTGCCATTGGTGTATTTCATAACTTGTGTTTAGAGTGTCTTAAGAAATTTGAGAAATGCTTCCTTGGAAAAGTGTCCAGTTATCTACCAACCTGTGTCTACATATAGTAAACGTTAACCAAAGATTTTCCTGACAATGTTACACCACCTATCCCTGCCATTTTATCAAAATGTCCATACAGCCGTATGATTCATTCTGTATCATAGGTTAGAAGGGCATCGCAAGAAATTGAAGTTCCTGAAACTGTGGGCATTTTAGCAAGCATGTTTATAGCTTCTAGACTTCGCACAGTAGGGTTTTTATACCAACACACATCTGTGCCTCTTGAGGGCAAGTGTCTCAAGGCTCATGTCACGTTTAAATCACATTATTAAGATCCCTGCATCAATTTACAGAGTGTTATTGTATCAATTTCCCAAATAGTACTTTAGTTCTGATGTCTACCTAAAACCTGTCAATATCACAGAATAATTGTATGTTCTTTTCATCAACCTCAAAAGGATATACAGTGCATATGTGTGCACTTACAGTTTGCTGGGAACTGTAAAAAAGACCCTGAAAAGGACACACCTCCTCTTCCCAGGTTTTAATCCTAGAATAAATGTGTGCATACAGTGTACGAATAATTCATTGAACATGAAGGAAGTTCGTAAAGATACAAGGACACAAAATCTCATTAAGCAACTTCTTTATGGTAACATTTGTACCCAGCGGCTTTACAAGGGAGCTATATTACATCACAGTTTTACAGATGAGGTCCCAAAGGCCCAGATCATTTAAGTAACTTGCCCAAAGTTACGCAGCTAGTTGCACAGGCACCAGGGATCAGAGGCCGGATCCTCTTGACTCCAGCCTGCACACCAGTTCCATCCCTTACACCATGCTGCCTGTTCATTCTATCTTTGAAAAGATGCAAAAGGAGGTTATATTTTTTGTGTGGAATTACAGCTAAGAGGAAATAAAACATAGAACAACAAAACAATTTAAAGGTGAAAAACCATTCGGCGGTTACTAATCACAATACATGCTGCCAGCTTCATAGATTCAGACATTGAAGCATGCACTGGACTCAGCAAGTTCTGTGCGAGCAGTTGTTGATTTGCCTGGGTAGGGGCGGTGGGAGGGTTTTGGAATCTTTGGGTCAGTTGACTATTGTGAACTCTTCTCTCCCTGAAGAATCCGAGGCAGTTGTTGAAACCAAAATGGAGAACAAACCCGCCTCCTCAGAATTGCAGAAGATGAAAGAGAAAGAGAAACTGATCAAAGAGCCAGACTCCGGAGTGCCTGTTGTTCTCATTACCACCCTTCTGGTTATTCCGGTGGCGGTCCTGCTGGCCATTGCCATGTTTATTCGGTGGAAAAAATCAAGGGCCTTTGGAGGCAAGTAAAATGAGCCCCTTGAACTTGGAGCCTACTTTTGAAAGTGTTTGGCCTTATTATTCTCAAAGTTCCATTGTGATTTTTTTCAGTGGTTTTTTTTTTAAAGTGTTCTCTGCCTTTTTTGATGTTACTGTCTATGTTCCAAATATTGTCTATAGTTAGTATCACAGTAGAAAATGTATCTGGAGCCTCAGAAATTTGGATATTTGGATGGTTAATATTTTAATATTAAAAGCAATATTAATATTGCTTTTTAGCAACTGGCTTACGCCCAATTGATGTCTCCCTATAGCTAAGTGCAGTTAGAATAAATGAGCTGCAGCGTCAGGACAGAGGAGAGCCGTGCTGTTCGAAATAGGCTCAGTTCTCAAAGTAGCGGGGTCAGTTACTTGGGAGTTGTATTACTTCCCACCAGCTGGTCCTGGCTCTTGCTCTTCGCTCCTTGACCTTGGGCAAGTCACTTAATCTCTCTGGGCCACAGTTTCCTCATTTGTAAAGTTGGAATCAAAGACTTACTCCAGTTGTATGAGAATTAAATGAAATAATGTACAGAAAGCATTTATCTCAGTACCTGGTACCTAGTAAGTGCTTATTAAGGAATAATCATGGGTAATAAAGTAATAAAAGTCATAAGTCAAAAAAGATACTTGTCTTAAACCTCAGCTATCTCAGGAAACCAACTATTTCTATAACAAACCATCTGGTAGTTTTTAAATAGTCATAAAATAGGCCATCAGTCCACCTTTCCTGACCATACGAGGCAGGTTCCAAAACTGGAGTCAGCATTTTATCAAATTATTATCATAGTACCGAACCCAGGGGCTGAGTTCCTTTTAGGACATCCACACAAACAAACAATGCGGCCTGTGGTTCTCATGTCTCAGAAGTAGTCCCTTGGCTGGGTCCCAGGCCTAAGGCAAGAATCCACAGCTCTGTCTGCGAAGGAGTCCATGGGTCAGGGTGGGAGGCAGCATTTGATCAAGAGACAGCATCTGACTCTATTCCAGGCCAGAGCGGCCATGGCAGGAATTCAGTGCCCACAGCAAAGCCCTGACACAGAAACGAAACACAGAGGATTCAATTTAGTAGGTGGTGAAAGGGAGTCTTTCTAGGACTTTCTTTTACTTTTCATAGGTAATCGGTAAAGCCCTGCACAAAACCAGTTAACTCTTCCCAAAAAACACTTCTGTTGAGCCCCTGTTATGGGTAGGGAACTCAGTCAGCAGGGGCAAAGATAAAGAAACTTAGTCGTTGTGTTCATGGAGCTAGGTGGTAGCTTCAAAAGAACAAGAATCTGGCTAAGTGTACTTGTTTATTGGTGTATCCCCAGGACAAATAACAGTTCCTGGCCCTAAGCTTCAATACATACTTGTTGGAAGAAATAAATGGAGGTTACAGACTAGATGACACACAAAAGAGAGATGACATTTAAAAAAAAGATGACACATAAAATTGATTAGCAAGGTGGTAAGTGCAGTGATCATTACCAGGAGTACCGGGTGCATGTGGGGACTGGGCAGGTAGCAGTACTGTTGGTAAGCAAACTACACTGGATGAAGGAATGCCAGAGAGTGAAGAAAGTGGCCTCCCCTGCCACAGCAGGGAATGCTGAGTCCGCACACGTGTGTGGGGAAGGCAGACACCCAGGTCGAACCACAGGAAATTACTATTGTGCAATCACATTTTCTGTAGGAAAATTGCAGTTTTAATTGCACATTTAATTCTAAAAGGAAACCAACTTCATATTTTCTCAACATTTGTCTTGATAGATCTTATCCACTCTGTGAGGGGTTTAGAAACCCTCATGAAGGACCCCCTGTTCATTCAGCATACCCATTTTGAGTATCAGCTCCATATCAGACACTGGAGTAGGCTCAGGGGGTGCAAAACCAGCTAAGGGCTGCCCTGCACCCTTATAGAACTTACAGTCCAATGTGTTGGCTTTCTAACAATCTTACTAGATTCTTCTTCCATTCTTCCCTATTCCCTTCCCCACCCACTACGCTTCCTCTCCTCTGTTATCTGCCTGCTAGCTTTCTTTACAATGCTGCCTCCATTCCTGGCTAGAGATTTCATAGGAGAGCCGCAAGCCCCGCTTCCCTGGCACAGCTCTTAAGGAGGTGGAAGCCAAGGTACAGAGTGCAGGGAGGTACAGAGAAACAGAAAAATGAAGTCCAGCTGGCGTTCTGCCTCCCCAGAAAGAAAGAAAGTTGATCTTTCATGGAAATGTGTAGCCCCATGGGGAACACTTGGGTCACCTCATATGATTGAAAATGCTCAGGGTTCCAGGTCCTTTGCTTTTCATATAAAGGGGAAATGATGTACATGGGCCCCACGCTTTCTCAGGCATGTACTGTTCTTCAAGAAAAGACTGAAGCCTAAGACAAATATTTCTAAATTGTAATAATGAAAACTTCCCAATTTTTACAAACTACTGGCAATTTAATTTTGTCCCCATGGAAAGTATTATTTATTGAGCACTTATTGTATACTTACCGGGCACTGTTCTACGTACATTATGTGCAGGGTGCCTCTAATCTTTACAGGTGGGTAGAGAGTGTCATTGATCCCTCTTTCCTCAGAGGAGAAAACTGAAGCTCAGAGGAGTAGTTTATTGAGATTGCACAGCCTGTGAGAGAGCAGGCAGGCGTCGAACCCAGCTGTGGCCCTCTGTGCATCACAATACTGTATTACCTTTTTTCCCTTTGGAATTGCATACAGGCCAGAGCCAGACCTTGTTAATTATTTATGAATTCCTGAATTTATACTGAAAGTTGAGCCCATGGATTGAGGAGGGTGATCGGGGCTCCTTTTTGAAATGTGCCATCTTTTTCTAGCAGATTCTGAACATAAACTCGAGTCAAGTTCAGGAAGAGTGCTGGGAAAACTTAGAGGTATGCCCGTGACCTTTTAAAATCCTTCACGTTTGGTTCAAAGTCAGCAAGCTCATGTCTTTTAAAGAGCAAGGAGATAATTTGTATTGCCTCTCTGGAAATGAAACCCCTGTGCAGCATAGCACCCCCCAGCATCGAACCGGAATGCAGACGATAAACCAGAGTGTGTGGCTCTGGCAGTGAATTTCCCAGTCTCGTTTTCCACCTTGCCATTCTGTATTATCTAATGATCCCTTGCCTTTTATCAGACTTCGTCTTCGGTAAATTTTCTGTCACTCCTGTGGGCACGTCAGTGCCTGTCATCTGAAGATGACCTTTTCATAAACTCACTGAGATGGAGACCTGCTTGTGGGATGCCAGTCCCCCAGAGCCCAGAAAGTGCAGGGGGTGAAAAGTGAATCTGAAACAATCCTGCAGAAACACATGGCCCCGGGGAGCTTTGTTTTTTCCTTCTGTATTTCAATAAATGTGTGTAGTACCCATCTGACTTTGTAGGCTACGTGTCTCTGTATGTCAGTCTTTTTTTGTTTCTCTTTTGCTGATATCTACACTTCCCCATCCCCAACTTCCAACTGTACCATGTAAGACTATACAGAGGAACTGAGAGTCATTTGTGTGACCTTCATCTCAATTCTGTGTTATTTGCTTTCTTCAGGGAAGGGAAGTGGAGGCTTAAACCTTGGAAATTTCTTTGCGAGCCGTAAAGGCTACAGTCGCAAAGGGTTTGACCGCCTAAGCACCGAGGGCAGTGACCAAGAGAAAGATGAAGATGATGGGAGTGAACCGCCCCTCCCTCCTCCTGAGCGCCCGGCTTTGGTCTGGTTGAGGAGATGTACCAGGAACGCCCGATTCCTTTCCCTTTCGCACGTTAGAGTTTTGTGTGTTTAATTGTAAACTGTACAAGTCTGTGCGGGACTGTACACATCTTATTTACTTCATTTGGGTTTCGTTGGCCTCTGTTTCTAGTTGAGGAGTTTCCTACACGTACATAACAGTGCCATGGTCTTTATATATGGGCATAGGATAGAGAAACAGTCCTCTTCTTCCATCACACTACTAATTTATGATGGAAGGCTTGCTCATTTACATTTCTGAGACTTTTCTGTAGATGTAAATAAGCCCACTCTGCTTGAACACAGTATTTTCCCATTAGCGCTTCCATTGCCAATGTCTTTCTTTGGTGCCTTTCCTGTTCAGCATTCTCAGCCTGATGACAAAGCTGCTAAATCTCCTATTTTTTTAAAATCACTAGCATTATATTGCAACAAGGGAAAGAAAAAAGTCTCTATTTAAATTCTTTTTTTAAATTTTCTTCTTCAGTTGGTGTGTTTTTGGGATGTCTTATTTTTAGATGGTTCCACTGTTAGAACACTATTTTCAGAATCTGAATGTAACTTGTGTAATAAAGTGTTTTCAGAGCATTAGCTGTCAGAGTGTATTTTGCAATGTTTGCATATTTCAGAGTTTTATATACAACTTGTGTATAAATTACACAAGCCACAGATATTGTGAAACCTTCTCAATGTCTTCAGCCCAAAGAAATGTTGTATTAAAATTAAAAAGATATTTTGTTATGTGGCCAATATAAACTAAAAACCAGCCTAACCGTTTACATACATGTGGAAAACCAGGCTCTCTTTTAAAACTCAAAGAGAGCTTTTGCCTGTTTACCAATCAGAAAGTCAGTACTTTAATAAAAGGTGATCAGCGCTAAGAGGAAAACTGCATCTCCAATTACATAGGCACGTGAATCCATCAGTGTAGGTTACTAATAGTTTTCTTTAAAAAAAAATTTACTCAAATTCCCATGTATTCGTAGTAATATTCCTCTGTTAAAGTGACTACAAATTAATTTTAAAAACATGTTTTTCATGTTCCAACAATGCAATTTAGTAAAAAGCTGATGATTGTTCTTTTCAGAATAATCAGACTTTTGAACTTGTTAATTCAGGCATTATAGTAGTTGGGATATTAGTGATTTAATTGACTAGACAGTGATTTTCAAACGTTTTCATCTTACGGGACACATAAGTTAATTACTAAAATGACGTGACATAACAAAAAATACACGTTTTGCCCATCTGACAAAAAGGTAGGTATAATTTTTATTCATTCACACCAGACAGCTATTGGGTTGGCTATCTTGCAGTTTTTTATTTGGCAATCTGAGGGAAAAGAGCTCAGTGCCCCTGGGTCAGGAGTCCGGTATTGCATGTTTTAAAAATGCTTGTGGCACACCGGTGGCACACTGGTTGAAAATTGCTGGACTAGACTAATCATGAAGACAATTCACACTACTTTGTAAAATGTATAATAACTTTCACCTATATTCTATAGAAAAACTAACTTAACATAGATTTATTTTTCTTCATAATTGACACCAAAGAGGATCTGATTGAAATTATCACTTGCCAAATGTTTACTTCCCCTTATTAAAATTTAACTTGGGTGCCTTCCCCAGTAGACACTTCCTTTTTTTAATTCCTGTGATCTTCCTTCTCAAAAGAACACATGTGTCCTCTCTGACCGCTCACGTATGCCCTTCACCACATCAGTAGTAATTACAGTGATGAATTTCTAATTCTGTCCTTTCGCCTTCATTAGCGGGCATTCTTCTGTGAAAGCCTGAGAGACTTGCCGACTCTCAGCCCAAGCAGCATCTACTCAACAGCATAAACTGTTCCCCTCATTTTATTTGTAACCAATGTAGCATGCTCCCCAAACTCATGGAACAAATATGGTCAAATACCGTTTATTTTCCCAGCTAATTGCTCAAGTCTTTACCTTCCTTATTGGCAGAAAGTTCATTACCAGCCTTTCAACGGTGGGCTTCCCCACCTTTCCTTCTCTTGGACTTGCCAAAAAAATTCCAGGTCACAGAAGGTGAATGTGGGGCACGGAATCAGCAGGTTTGCAGACACCACAAACGCGTATTCTAGTTGTCTGTCCACACTGCAATTGCACTGACTGCCTCTCTATATCACTGTTGAAGATTGTTCTGGAAACTACCCCAAGAAAGCTGTTGCTCCCCTGCTGCCTGGAGAGTGCCTCAGCCAGATCGCCCTCCCAGAGCCCTGTCTTGGCCTCTGAGGGCCGAAGTGTTTAGTGCTGGGCACGGAGGTCACACACAGCCACCTTCTTGAGGGCTGATTGGCCCAGGAGTGCTGCGTCAGGGCTGATCCCCATACCTGTGCCTCAAAGAACCAGAACCATCACCTGCCTTCCTATAATCCACCCTGGAGATCAGGAGTTTTTCCTCTTAAACCCTCAAATCTCATAGTTTCATTAGCCCTTCTTCTTCCTCGCTCCTCCTCCCTTCCCCTTCCCCTTCCTTTCCGCCTCCTCCTTCTCCTCCTCCTGAATACAACATCAGATCTACCCTAGACAAAATTTTAAGTATACAATATGGTATTGATACCTTAGGCACACCATTGTATGGCAGATTTCTATAACTTATTCATCTTGCATAACAAACTTCATACCTGTTGAATAGCAACCCCCCCCCCCATTTTCCCTCCTCCTTTTGTAAGTGAAATGTTGAATTTGTCCTGTGAATGGCTTACTTCACTTAGCATAATGTACTCCAGGTTCATTTATATTGTCTTATATGGCAGGATTTTATTCTTTTTTAAAGGCTGAATAGTATTCCATCATGTTTACTAGAGGCCCAGTGCATGAATTTGTGCACAGGTGGGGGGGCCTGCCGGCCCAGCCCCAATCGGGGCAGATCAGGGCCGGACCTGTTGGGAGGAGGAGATGGCAGGAGATTGGCCACAGCCCACCCAGATCAGGGCCTGATCAAGGCCCCTGATCAGGGCCCCCAATGAGGGCCAGGATGGCTGAGGGATGGGGCCGTGGGCAATTGGCCGGCGCGACCGTCCCTGGCCAGTAGGCTCCGCCCCCTATTGGGGTTGGGGGTGCTGATCAGGGGCAGGGCCAGCCAGAGGGGCTGTAGGCCGATTGGGGTGGGGCCGGCCATGGGGGAGGGCTGCAGGGGGGTTGGCTGGCCGGCCCCCCCCATTGGGGCAGTTCGCTGGCCAGAGGGCGTCATAGCGACCGGTCATTCTGGTCAGTATGGCATCCCGGTTGCTGGCTTTTTATATATATAGACACCACATTTTCTTTATCCCTTTATCAGCCAAGGGACATTTGTTTCCACTTCTTGGCTGTAATGAATAGTCCATCAGCCCTTCCTGAACAGGGACTGGGGCTGGCTGATGGCCCTCCATCCCTTTCTAAGAGTGTCCCTATTGAGTCTTAAGTGTTCCAAATAGTCCTAGCCAGGGAAGTTTCCTTCCATGATTCAAAGGTGATTTCTAACCTGTTTGTCATTAGTAAGCACTTCTGAATATCTAACTAGCAAAAAATTCGAAGCCCTGGGGATACAGTGCTGAAAGGCAATATCCCAACTTTACTGGAATTTACATTCTAGTGGTGTGTACATTTTTTTCTTTCTTTTTTTTTGTCTTAGAGAAAAACAAATGCAATCCCTGAATGGGTAGCCCATAACATACATTAATGAACTTTTAAAATAATATTTTTTATTGATTTTAGAGTGGAAAGGGGAGAGAGAAACATCAATGATGAGAGAGAATCATTGATTGGCTGCCTCCTGCATGCCCCACACTTGGAATCGAGCCTGAAACTGGAGCATGTGCTCTGACCAGGAATCAAACTGTGACCTCCTGTTCATAGGTTGATGCTCAACCACTGAGTCACACTAGCTGGGCCATTAATGGACTTTTAAAAATGATGTCCCAAGAAAGGAATTGACTAGTTTAGTTATACTAGTCCCAATGTCTCTTTATGTTGATTTAGTTTCTGACATTTTGATTTTTTAGTTAATTTTCTCTTGTATTTTTATATTTACAAGATGTCATACAATTCACAGAAATCTTTAAGAGTTTCACATTTTTGGAGCCTTGTTCTGAGTCTAGTGTGGTCTCCATTAAAAGGAAAGTGGTCCTTTCTTTAAAAAAAAAAAACCCACAGTTCTCACATCTGTAATCAAATATATCCCCAAATAATCCAATAAAAATTAACTTAAAAGGCAAAGGATTCATTCAACAGATATTGATTGAGCTTCATGGCGTGCAAATACTAAGATTTTGAAAAGGCATAGTCTTGCCCTCCAAGGTTTATAATCTAGTGAGAGCTCAAGCCTGTAAATGATAGCAGTATAAAGCATAAGAGGAGCACATGGAAAATGCTATCGAACCTCTGATTGACGAGCACGAGTTGTCATGGAGAAGGTGATATCTGAGTAAAGGACAGGAAGGCCAAGGGACAACGCTGGTCATATTAGAAGATTAGCAACAGGGCTTGAGCTCAGGGTAGTTTAGAGGAGCAGTGGTAGATAGGCTGGATAGCCGGGTTGGTGCAGCAAAAATATTTCTAAAACATGAGGAGAAATTTGGATTTAACTGCATCTGACTTATTTGCTATTTACAGGGTGTCCCCCAAAAATGTACACACACTCTGAATTAATTCCAATGGGTTAAATCTCAAAAGAAACATCAACTGAGCTATCAGCTGTTAAAATGTACATCTATATCTATATCTGTATATCTACTACGGGCCCTGTGCACAAATTTGTGTACCTTGAAAGGAACTGTGGGCCACAAAGCTGCAGTGGGCAAGGGGGGGGGGGTCTCAGCCCATCCTCCGCACCCCTGCCCAACCCCTCGCACCACGGCACACATCCACTGATGGCACGGAATGACTGGGGCCAGCGCCAGCAGCGGGTGTGAGTGGGGCTGTTGCCAGCAGCGGGTGGGAGCGGTGGCAGCTGGCCCCAATTGCCTCTCAGGAGCAGGGGAAGGTGGAGAAGCCCTGAGGGGCAATCAGGGCCGGCAGCTGTCACTCACACCACTGATGGCACTGAGCGATTGGGACCAGCACCAGGCTCCAGTGCCGGCAGTGGGTGCGAGCAGGGAGAGTGCTGGCAGCAGGTGCAAGCACCCAGCAGGACCATGGTGAGTGGGAGCAAAGAATTCTCAGTAACCACTAGAGGCTCACCCCATGACAGTGACCGATGCCCTGCCCTGGTCTGGTGCCCCCCCCCTCACCTGCTCCACCATCCCGCCATGGCCAGTGCCCTCCATATTCCATGCAACCCCCTAGTGGTCAGCACACTCCATGTTCTTCCATGCAACCCTAGTGGTCAGCACACATCATAGTGACTGGTTGTTTGGTCATTTTGCCATTTTGTCTATTTGCATATCTATCTATCTATCTATCTATCTATCTATCTATCTATAGTAATTGGGAGGGTTTGGTTCTGATATTTGGAATAAGCTGCCTGGTGAGTATTATATTGCACCCCTGGCCCAGTGTACTAATTTGTGCACCAGTGAACCCGTGGGGTCCCTCGGCCTGGCCTGCAGGATCAGGCCAAAACTGGCTCTCCAACATCCCCTGAAGGGTCCAGGATTGCAAGAGGGTGCAGGCC